ATTTCTCTTCCCAGTTTTTCCTCTACTTCCCTTACTTGCTTCTCAAAATCCCTTTTGAGCTCTTCCAAGGCCTGGGACTGATTCATATTTTTCTTGGAGGCTTTGGATGTAGGAGCTTTGACTTTGTTGTCTTCTTTTGTTTGTATATTTTGATCTTCTTTGTCACCAAAGTAAGATAATATAGTCTGACTCTTTTTGCGCTGTTTGCTCATGATCCCAGCCAATTACTTGAGTTTTAAACTCTTTGTTAAGGTAAGAGTCTGCTTCCAATGTGGAGAGTGTACTGTCCCAAGCTTCAGGGGTTTGTGTAGCTGTTTTCAGAGATACCTGTAGGGACCTGTAAATTTTCAGTTCTTCTAAGGTGGTATGATAAGGGGCGAGGTGTTTACTCCTTTCCTGGCCTGTGACCACAAGCACTCCTTTCTGTCCCGTAACTGTGAGGAGGGGTTTCTCTGCACAGCCACTACAAGCTCCACCACGCCAGTGCTCCTCCTCACCCCAGCACTGCCGCCCAGAACCGTGACCCAGATCCACACAGGGGCAAAGCAAGAGATCCCTGCAGTCCCTCTCTGATCAGCCACTGGATTCCCCCTCAGTCTTTGTGCCGGAAGCTCAGGAAGTAGCTGCCCCCGCCCCGGGCCACGCTCTTGGGGAATGGAGCTGAAACCCCGCCTTCCTTTCTCAGCACCGACAGAAACAGACTTTTCCCACTGACCTTCTAAGTTGTCTTTGGCCTTAGTGGATTGAGGAGTCTGGAAACCTCCACAGCTGCCCATGATTCAGTCCTCTGAGGCCTGCTCCAGGTTCACTGCAGTCTGCGTGCCCATGCCGCGCTGCGCTGCGCTCCTAGCCCGTCAGGATATACCTTTCTGATCAATCATCCAGGTTGTCTTGGGCTGGAAATTTGTTTCACTCTGTCTTTTTGTGGGTTCTGCTGCTTCAGAATTTGTTTAGAGCCATTTTTTATGAGTATTTGGAGGGGTTTGGGGGAGAGCTCAAGCAAGTCACTGCTTTCACTCTGCCATCTTGGCTCCTCCCCCTGAAGGAAACTTCTTTAAAAATTGTAGTTGTCGGGGCAGCTAGGTGGCTCAGTGGATAGAGTCAGGAGGACCTGAGTTCAAATCCAGCCTTAGACCAAACACTTAACACTTACTAGCTGGGTGACCCTGGGCAAGTCACTTAACCCCAATTGCTGGCAAGTCACTTAACCTCAATCACCTAAAAAAAAAAAAAGATAGTTGTCTTCATTCAGAATGAACTGCTTCATGAAATTGTGGAATGCCTCTCACTGGAGGTGAGTAAAGGCTAAGTGATCTCTAGGTGGAGTTGGATCATACTCTCCGAATACACTTGGTGTTAAATTGGAGGCCTAATCCTTGGTAACAGTTTATTGGATAGGAGGCAGGGTTCAGACCTTCATGGGTCTGCTCTACAGAGAGTGAGGTAGTGATCATGGCTGGAGACCCCACTTAGGTTAGAATAAACCTCCGTGAAGGTGGAAGGTTTTAGGAGAGCTACCACATGGGGAATACAGTCTGGATAAATGTGCGAGCAAGACCAGCAAATGTGTCCCAATCCTAACCATGAACCAGCCTGATATATCTGCTGGCATTGGTGAGGTGGTTCCATTTCAGGCTGATGTTTAGTCAACTCAGTTCATTATGGCAGGAGAAAATTGTGGGAAGCTTCTCAATTTGCCCAAACCCCCTATTAACATTAAGCAGGTCTGCATTCCAGGGGGCATTGCTGAGATTTCCACCCCTACACAAATATCAACTTTAACAGAGTGCACAGAGAGAGTCCTGAATCCATTGGTGCTAGCACCTACTGTGAAAAAGTCTTTGATCTCCCTGAGGGTAATGTCCCCATTGAGACTCCACGCACCACCCTTGGCCAGTTCTATCCCCTTGGACACCTCCTTGCAAAGATTTTGATATGCTGGACTATCCTACTACTTGCTTATTGATGACTCTACCTGTTATGGGTCTGACATTGGCCTCTTTCTTCTTCTTCATACAATATTCTCTTTCCCCTGGGGGCATTTTTACTGTCCCCCGTGCATGGAATACTCTCTCTTCTCATCTCCTTCAAATCCTTCCTTCAAGTCAATCTAAAGTCCCCACCTTCTACAGGAAGCCTTTCCCAATCCCCCTTAATTCTAGTGCTTTCCTTCTGTTGATTTCTCCAATTTATCCTGTATGTCTTATTTATACATGGTTTGCATATTGTCTCCCCTATTAGTCTGTGGACTCCACAAGAGTTAAGAGCATAGACTTACTTTTGCCTTTCTTTGTATTTTCAACATTTGGCATAGTGCCTGGCACACAAATACTTAATGTTTATTTGATTGACTGATGCCTATTTCTCCTTCTCTGCAGTGCCTGATCAGATTTCCAGGATAAGTCTAGATTGGTCTTCTTGGGATGGCCTTTGTGAGGGGAGGGAATAGATCATTGTTTGATTGAAGTCAGATTGTGGCTGTTTGCCTATCTGGGTGGTAGGAAGCCTGGAAATTCAACAGCTATCCTACCAAGGGGGGCTTCTTGTGGATGCAGAATCAGGGATAGAACTTTGCTGATATAGCTGATTGCTTTTTTATTCAAGTGGGCCATATCCATATCAGCTTTTACTAATGCTAGGATACTCCTTCAACTAAAGAGAGTAAGCCTTGGACAGAATTTTTTATGATCTTCCCACTTTGATTTCCTCTGATTCAAGGGCCCATTTCACCTCTAGCACTGTAGAGGATTGGGCTAAATCCCATCATATAATCTCTTAATTTGTTTATTTTTTTTTCATTTGGATTATCATCCCCAGGCAGTGAGCTTCATTGATTGTCTCAAAGGCTGGCTCCATCTATTGATTCTTTCTAGAACTTGTATTTGTGACAGGTGTACAACTGGGCTGTAACACTATTAAGGAAAGGACCATTTATTCCTATACTTTCCAGTAGTTTAAAAAAAAATATGTGAGTACTGTATTCTGTCAGATGCTTTTTTCTACATCTATTGAAATAAGCACCAATTTCTAATGTTTTTCACTAATGTTTCTGTTATCAATATGGCTCTTACGTCATTAATAGTATAAATCTGGAGTAGTAATAATGGGTAATATTGATATAAGTTTACCTCTTTGTTGCAGAAATCAGGTCACTTTAATAGTAATGAAAATATTAATAATGGGCAGCTGGGTGGCTCAGTGGATAGAGTACCAGGCCTGGAGTTAGGAAAATGCCTCTTCATGAGTTCAAATCCAGCCTCAGATATTTGCTAGCTGTATGACCCTAGGCAAGTCACTTAACCTTTGTCTGCTTCCATTTCCTCTTCTGTAAAATGGGGCAATAATAAGGTTATTGTGAGGCTCAAATGAGATAAAATTATAAAGAACTTAGCTCTGTACTTGGGACATAGGCAGCACTAGGTAAATAAATGTTAGCGATGATGATGATGATGATGATGAGACTAAAGTAAGTAGTGTGGTGTTCTGGTTCTGGCTAGAGAAGGCAACACACTAACCTATTAGTGTTTTGGGAAGCCAGGAATAGAGTCTTAGATTCCAGTGGGCTGGAGATGGATTGAGAGGGAGGGCCATGGAAGGGGGCTGCAGAAAGTGGCATGGAAGACTAGAGCCCTGGATGGAGATTTGAGACCCATGGGTTCTTATTCCAGCCACATCCTTCATTCCTTGTGACCTTCAGCAAGTCACTTTTCACCACTTTGGACCCCAAAGTCAGAGCCATAGTCTTTGCGACAGTGTTGCTTGGTGAAAGGCCCATGGTCCCAGGCCCCTTTTCCCTCACAGGAAGCAGATATAGGACCCAGCCCTTCACATTCCTAGATGTCGTGAACCCACATGCTTTTCTCTAGCCATGGCAGCTTATTGCTGGTAGGTATATGTAATGTTATGAAATAGTGTTTCTCCTCTGCTATCACCACCTCTTCCAAATCTGACTGCCCAAGCCTTTTCACTCCATAGCTGTGTGGCTTTGGGCAAATCACTTCACTTCTGAGGCTTAGTTTCTTCATCTATAAAATGGGATGGTTGGATCCATCTCTAAAGTCCCTTCCAGCTCTAATATTCTCATAGTTGAGGATTTTTTCTGGCTTGGAATCTGCTATGATGAAGTAAGTGTTCCCATTTTCTGCTCATGGGTTGTTCCTCCTACCTGGATCATTCTTCCCAACCTTCTCTCCTCAGCCCTATTCTTCTTCAGCTTCTGAACCCCATTCTCCCCCTTACACTCCAAGTTATGCTTTCTAGCATCTTCCCTATCCGTCAGCACGGATGCCTAAACTTATGGCTCCCCTACTACCCCTGAGTCTCTTACTCCTGGCTGTACAAGTATCTGTGTAATTTTGTGATACTTCTGTAGCTCTCTTTTAACATCTGTAAAATCAAGAGGTTGGGCTGGGAGGGGAATAGGCATTTCTATAGCACCTACTATGTTCCAAGCACTATACCCTCATTTGATCCTTGCCACAACCCTGTGAGGTAGGTATTGTTATCCCTATTTTAACTGAGGCAAACAGAGGTTAAGTAACTTGTCTAGGGTCACACAGCCAGTAAATAGCTGAAGTCGCATTTGAACTCCAGGCCCAGCACTTTGTCCACTGGATCATCAGCTGGTTGCCTCTGATATCCTTTTCAGCCCTGACATCCTGTGATTTGGCATTCCTGTGTCCTGGGTGTTCTTCATCAGATTAAGAGCTCCCTAAGGACAGGGACCCTGTACACTCCTTCTCCCTCCATTGTCCAGGACAGGGCTTTGTTCATATTGGCAGACTCAGATAAGGCAGGAGGTCTTACCTGAGTCAATGTGTATTGATAAAGAGCTGGGATAACCCAAACATTTCCTTGGGGACGGTCATGGCTAAAAGATGTTTGAGTGACTGGTTGGGCTAGGGGTGGAGAGGACATGAGGTGTATGGGTATACTTTCTTGAAGCAAGGCTCTCTGAGTCACTCTCTCAGAATAAACCATAAGGTTGCCAGAGTGCAAGGAATATCGATTTATTGGAAACCCAGTAATCAAGCCCAGAGGAAAGGGAGAGAGAGAGAGTACAGGAAAGGGCCAGCCGACCTAGTGTATCTGGTATAGAGTGGGGATGAACCTGGTCCTTGCTTGGGGAGGGCGCCCCTTCAAGAAACAGAGATATGGGACCAGAGAAGTCAGGAGCTGGCTAGAGATAGCTGCTCAGAAGATAACAGCTGCAAAATTGAAAACTCCTCTTCTTTCTTCTCTCCCCCTTCCGTCCCGTCTCCCGCCACCCCCGTTCCCCGGTGGACATCCTCGGGTCTCTCAATAATTCTGCCTCCAATTCCGAGGGTTAGGTTCGTGTCTTCGAAAGCGGCGGCTGTTATCTTCTGATTCCCAGGGGGCGGGGAAGGGGTTATTTACAGCCGAAGCTCAGGGCAGCTAAGCAAATCGGACTGAGCGGCTGCTCCCGCGGCTGAAGCTTTGGCCGCAGGGCACACAGGGACCCCCAGTGCTCACCACCACATTCCCGCTACATGGGGCGCTGCAGACGCTGCCCGTCACTGGACGCGACCCTGACACACAGAGGTCTCCGCAGACGACCCCGCCCCGGGAGCTGCTCACACCTGTGGGGTAGGAGGAGAATGGAGGGCAGGTTATCTCTCTGGGGGATCACTGAGTCCCTCCCCACAACCTGAGTCAGGGGACGGAAAACCCTCCAAACGCAGGTGTCTCCCACTGGTCCAGATCCAAGAGAAAGGAATAGATACTTCTGGGTCCCACCTGTATAGCTGAGGAATACTTTAAAGAAAGTATAACTCTCCAGCTGCAATCACTCCTGCTGCAAAGAGGGATCATTTGATTTTAGATTTAGAGCTGGAAGAGATCTTTGAGGTCATCTAGTCCAACCCCATTTTGCAGATGAAAACTGTGACCTGACTAGCCTAAGGTTGCACAGGTAAGTGATAGCTGAGTTTCTAATATAGATCTTCTCAAATTTCTTGGAGCATTTTAAGGTCCACGAATCCCTTTCTTCTAACAACTCTATGGAGCAGGGGATACAATATTATTAGCCTCATCTTGCAGATGAGGAAACAAGTTGAGAGAAGTGAGATGACTTGGCCAAGGTCACACTAGAAAGTGTGCAAGGCTTGCAACCCCAATGTCAGAGATTGTTAGAAGATGAGATAGGATCTAGCTGCAGGTCATCTTATTGAAGTGATTATTATTATTATTATTATTGAGCAATTAACATCCAGGGATACTGCCATTCCCATCAGCCCATTCCCTCTTGTCTAACTTAACTTCTTTCAGGACCTCAATTACTTACAGACATTCACAGCTCCAACACCTTCACACAACCTGGGGGAAGGGAAAATGAAACACCATTAGATGGGAAGTGAGTGAGACATATCTTTTATAAAAAGTATTTGGCCCCAAATGCTGATCATCTCTCTTTTCCAAAGATTCTAATGAAAGTTTTGTGCAAATAGATTCAAATTAAAGTAAATGTGATCATGGTAACACTGAGTGTGGATGGAGAATGGAGCATCATTATATAGAGAGGGTAGGCCTAAACCTAAGGAAGAAGGGCTGATGCCAGGGATTCACCTTTGCTCTTCACCCTCCAGCAGCCGTTTGTAGGTGGCGATCTCGATGTCCAGCCCCAGCTTGGAGTTCATGACCTCCTGATACTCCTTCAGTAGACAAGCCATGTCCTGCTTGGCCTTCTGCAGAGCCTCCTCCAGCCCTGCCAGCTTGCAGCGGGCATCATTGAGGGCAGTCTCACCCTGCTGCTCAGACTGGGTCACAGCAGCCTCCAGCTTGGAATTCTGGGGGAACACAAGAATCAGGTGAAGAGATAATGGGTTGTCAAATTGTCCTGGAATCACAGACTCCCCAACAGAGGCAAATCTAATTATTCTTCTATCTTTGTTCAAAACTCTACCCTTCTCCTCCTTTCTCCTCCTCCCCCACATCTACATGCACATCAACTAGATTAGGAAGACAAGGGCTTCTCTCCAGGAGAAGGTTCCACAGCATCCTTCTATCCTTTTTCTCGGTGTATCGCCAGATGAGCTGGTTGGGAAGTTCTCCTTGGTATCCAAACAGAATTCCTCCTGCTACAATCTAACTGAATTCTTTAATTTTGGAGAGTGGTCAGTGTCAATACCTGGCACTTGGCGTTCTCCACCTCAGCGGTCAGCCTCTGGATCACGCGGTTCAGTTCATTGATCTCCTCCTTTGTCCTGCGCAGACTCTCCCCATGGCGGATCACTGTGGCCTTCATCTCCTCACACTGTAAGGGGAGGGGGAGAGGGTGGTATCCCATAATTCACACATAGGTACATGAGGGACCATCTCATCTATGCACTGTTCCTCACTAGGAAAGAAGACTCCATAACTTCCCAGGGAGCAGAAGCTCCAGATAAAGGGAAAATCCTTCACCATCCTTCCCATTGCTGCTAGACAATCCCACCATACCTCAAGTCACTATCTTAACTCTCCACAACAGATCCTCTAAACCTTTTCATTCCTTCTCAAGCTTCCTACGTACACACTCCTAGATGAGAACCTTACCTCATATTTTGCAGAAAAAAATAAGTCCATTCACCATGAGCACCCTCCTCTCCCCTCTTCCTCATCTACCTTCTGCCATCATCTCCTCCTTCACCCTGTCTCATATGATGAAGCAGCCTTACTCCTCACCAAGGGCAACTCCTCTACCTGCCCAAGTGATCCCTTTCCTTCCTGTCTCCTCCAACAGATCGCCCCCTCTGTCACTCCACTCTGTAGCTTATTTTTATCTTTCTGTTTCCTTACTGTCTACAGAAATGCCCATGTTCCCCTCATCCTCAAAGAGCCCTCAACTGATTCTCCGTTCCTGCTAATTATCTTCCTATATACCTTCTGCCCTTTGTGGGTGAACTGGAAAAGGTCATCCATCTACAATAGGTGCTTCTGTCATGTCTCATCTTGTTTTCTTCATAACCCCTTCTAAACCCTCTCCTGACCTCATCATTTCATCAAAACTACTCTTTCCAAAGTGACCACGGATCTTTTAATTGACAAATTCAATGGCTGTTTCTCAATTCTCCTTCTCTGAGACCTTTCTTCAGCCTTTGATGCCATGGATTACTCTCTTCTCTCTAGGTTTCTGGGACACTGTCTCCTGGCTCTCCTCCTACCTATCTGACTGCTCCTTCTCAGTCTCCTTTGCTGAATCATCATCCAGGTCACGCGGTCTGACTATCATTGTCCCAGAGGGCTCTGTCCTGGGCCCTCCCCCTTCACTTGGTGATCTCCTTAGCAACCATGGATTTGGCTCCCATCTCTAAAAGGCCACACGTGGCATCCCAGGCCTCAGCATCATATAATGCTAATCTCTCCGCAATCTCCAGTCTTGCAGCTCCAACTGCCTTTCAGACACCTCGAACTGGATGTCTAATAAACATCTTAAGCCAAACACGTCCAAAACAGAACTCACTATCTTTCCTAAATCCTCCCTCCTGCTTAACTTCCCTGTTAATGTAGAGGCCGATACCATCCTCCCCTCCCCTCAGGCTTTCAATCTAAGTGCCATCCTCAACTCTTCACTGTATCTCACCTCCAATATCCAATCTGTTGCCAAGGCCTCTCCATTTCACCTCTGCAACGTCTCTCAAATATGTCACCTTCTCTCCTCTGACACTGCCACCACTTTGGTGCAAACCTCATGACCTCATGTCTGACCTATTGCAACAGCCTGCTGGTGGGTCTGCCTGTCTCAAGTTTTTCCCTACTCCAAATCTATTTTCCATTTAGCCACCTAAGTGATTTTCCTAAAGTGAAGGTCTGACCATGTTATGCCCCCTACTCAAAAACCTCCAGTTGCTCTTTATTACCCCAGGAGCAAATAGAAAATCCCAGTTTGGCATCTAATGCCCTTTATAACCTAGCCCCCTCCTACCTTTCCAGTCTTTTTCACCTTACCGCCTTCCGTGTACTCTTCAATCCAGTGACCTTGGCCTCCTGACTGTTCCATGAACAAGACATTCCATCTCTCTGCTCCAGGCATTTTCTCTGGCCGTCCCTAATGTCTGGCATGCTCTCCTTCCTCACCTCTGCCTACTGCCTTCCCTGGCTTCCTTTAAGTCTTACCTAAAATAAAATCTTCTACAAGAAGCCTTTTCCAATCCCTCTTAATTCTAATGCCTTCCTCTTCTTATTTATTTTTGATCATAATATCATATAACATATATTTTATTTTAATAATCTTATCATAATATGTATATTTATATATTTTATATATTATATTAATATACTATAACATATTGTATATTACATATTATAATTTTATCATAATGTCATATATATCTTGTTTGTATATATTTATTTTCTTGTTGCCTCCCCCATTAGATTGTGAGCTCCTTGAGGGCAGGGACTATCTTTTGCTTCTTTTTTGTATCGCCAAGGCTTAGGTATGGTGCCTGGAATATAGTAGATACTTAAGTGTCACAGTAGATAGGGCATGGGGCCTTGAGTCAGGAAGACCTGAGTTCAAATGTGCCTTCAGACACTTACTAGCTGTGTGACCCTGGGCAAGTCACTTAACTTCTGTTTGCTTCACTTTCCTCATCTGTGAAATGAGGATAATAATAGCACCTACCTCCCAGAGTTGTGAGATAATAACTCTGTAACAACAATAACAATTATAAATGTTTACTGACTAAACATCATTTCTGGTAAGCGAGAGTCAGGCTCATTTACCTTGCTTCGGTACCAGGACTCGGCCTCAGCCCGGCTGCGGCTGGCGATGTCATCGTACTGAGCCTTGATCTCGGCAATGACACAGTCCATGTTGAGTTCTCGGCTGTTGTCCATCTTCACCACGACCGAGGTGTCTGAGATGTGGGTGTGAAGGACTCGGATCTCCTGTGGGGCAGGATCACCAAAGCTTATTCAGAATAGACCCTCGCCTCTCTAAAATTGCCTTTCAAATCCTCCTTCTCCTCTCCCTTAATATAACTCCTCTGTGGCCCACATCCTCAGAATCCCCCTACCCAGACACACAGTCCCACAGAAACCCACAAAGAGTGGAAAAGGTTACCCAGGGTCATTTCATTTCTGTTATGTCTACTGCTGACGTCCAACAGATCTACAGGTTTCTTATAAAATATCCTGCCTAGGTATTTTAGGCAATGGTAGACCTGTTGCCTAGTTTCTATCTAACCCACAGATTCTCCAGAAATTCCTTATCTATTTCCATTTATCATCCTTCCGTCTTCTTTTGGGTACTGTACTTGTGCCAGAGCCTAACTCCTTGGCAGGTTACTGGTGTTTATAACCATCTCCATAGTAATAGTGAATAACAGGGGTTACCATGTTATGATGACCTCAAGTCACCAAGACATAGGATTTTCTGCTACCTGAGTTCCCATTTGAAACAGCTCTTCCTGGTGTATCTCCTGATTCCTCCTCTACCCTACTACCCCTTTAGCCACTGAATACCACATCTTCTGCTTGTTTGGTTCCATAGATCAGAAAGTAGGAAGTCCTTTTTGTCATCCCACCCTCACGCCTCCTCCTGGAACACAGTGCTTCTCACCTCCTCATACAGAGCCCTTAGGAATTGAATCTCCTCTGTTAGGGCCTCGGCATTGGCTTCCAGGTCTGATTTTCGGAGATAGGCAAAATCTACATCCTGCAGAGGAGAATGGGAGATTCAGGGACCTTGAGGTAGATACTCCTTCTCTACTGTTCCCTTCAAAAGTGACTTCACTGCCAGCCTCTCTTAATCTTAGTTTTCACATCTATAAAATGGGGCTAATAATATACTACCTATCTTAGGAATGTTGTGAGGAAATCAATTCAATTATAAAATAACACAACTATGAGTGACGAGGATGAGGATGCCACTAGGTGGTGCAGTGGTCAGAGTGACAAGGCTGGAATCAGGAAGACTCATCTCCTAGAGTTCAAATCTGGCTTCAGGCACTTACTAGCTGTGTGACCCTGGGCAAGTCTATTTGCCTCAGTTTCCTCATCTATAAAATGATCTGAAGAAGGAAATGGCTAACTACTTCAGTATCTTTACCAAGAAAACCCCAAATGAGGTTATGAAGAGTCAGACATGACTGAAATGACCGAACACCGGCAACAAAATTATTATTATTATTTCTCCTACTTTTTTCTTTTGGCTAAGGTTAGACAAGTATGTTTAGCAAATTTTTATGATACCCTGTCACTGGGAGGGGCTTTTGGAGACAGGAAGGATTTCTAAGAATTGGTGACATTTTGGATGATGATACAAGGGATGCCAAGTCAAGAAGGAGCTTGGACTACAGTCAGGCAAGGTCAGCTGCCTCTTTCAGTAGGCTATTCAAGAAGCACAATGAGGAACTTTTTCCAAATGCACATAACTTGGGTCCTAGATAATCAGTGACACTCATAGGTAGGAGCATCAGTTGTAGACTTAGAAGACCTGAGTTCAAGTGCTAAATTTGCTACTTGATGGCTATGTGATCTTGTTCAAGTCACTTCTCCTCCTATGAGTCTGAATTACTTTATCCAAAAAATGAGAAGGATTAGACTCGCCTTCATGGTCCCTTCCACCTCTGAATCTGTGCTCCTTTGACCTTAGGCTATCAATTGGATAGGGCAGAGGGTATAGGCACCATTAGGTGTTACTATGATGGCTGAGGAGCGTAGGGAGAACAGCGTTGAGGGTCTGGAACTATCTTCAAATCCTACTATGTGCTACATAGAAATGGAGTATGGTGTTCTAGGCAGGGCTACCATGGAGAAGAGAATTAGGGCATTTGGAAAAAAGGATACTTGACGACTGGGTTCCAAGCTGTTGGTGTGCTATGTGATGTTGGCAAAAGTCATTCGACCTCCTTCATGGTCTCAGGCTTCCAATATCTTTCACAGGAGGGTTGAACCTTGTCCTATTTCTAGTCTAGGATATCCTGGGCCTGAGCACTCACCTTCTTCAGGATCACAAACTCATTCTCTGCTGTTGCTCTCAGGGCCACCTCCTCTTCATATCTGGGGGGGAAAGAGGGTTTCAGTTTCTGGGACCCTCAGAGCTCAGAGTTTGTGGAGGAGCAGAAAGAGAGAGAGGAAAGAAGGAAGGGATGGAGGAAAGAAGAGAAGAAGGAAGGAAGGGAGGGAGGGTGGAAGAAAAGAAGGAAGAAAAAAGAAAGAAAGAGGCAGGGAGAGATAGAGGAAGGAAGGAAGGATGGAAAGGAAAAATGAATTTGGATGAGGCCTAAATTTTACTCCCAGAAGGCTGCCTTTTGAGGACCTTAGGTGTCTTGGGATCAAATAGCTTATGGAATTAAAATATTCTTGGGCTGTGAAAGGAATCTGAAGAGGTAATTTTGCCCAACCCTCTACTTCTGTGCTCCAGAGCATTCAAACCATCCCCCAAGAGAACTCTTTCCTAAAAAAGACAAAAAACAAAACAAAACGAAACAGTCTAGGAGTCATCATTACTCCTCATCTGCTAGAATATTCTAACCCTTCCTTGTGGGAAGCATTCTTAGCGTTTTTCTCACTGGAAGTCTTTCTGCTGCAGTGCTAGGTTGCATCTTTCTGCTCTCAGGAGACATTTGCCTGATATAAAGTCAGAATTTGTTTTATCTCCTCCAACTAGACTATAAACCTGTGGAGGGCAGGCAGGGTCATGTTTAATCCTTCTGTATTCTATACAAGTACCAACCACAGTGGAAAGTACATACACACACACACACACACATACACACTACACACATACATATATGTTCTCAATAAATGTTTTTGTTAAAGTCTTTATTTTTTTGTTTCAGCATATGGGGTTAGAAGTATTACTTCTAGTATTTAGCAGATGAGGAAATTGAAGCTCAGATAGTGAAGAAGCTTACTTTTCCCCACTGATATTGACCTTTTCTTCTTCTTGCCCCACTTCTTGAAGATGATACAATGGAAAGGAAATATTGCTAAGTCAAGAATTTGCCTACGGTCTACCAATCAGAAAATGCTAGAGGTCTTGAAATGGCAAGTTATCAGTGTTCCCATCTCCATTTAGGAGCCAGAACTAAACACCTTTAATAGAACCTAGAGAGGTGAGAACTGTTCTTATGATTACTGCACCCCCTCCCAGCTCCCTAACGCCACTCCACAAACCTCCCTATCCCCCTGTGCCTATATGTCTATCTAACAACTTTCACCATCTGGAAGTTTTTTTGTTGTCTGACTCAAATCCTTCTGCTGGGACTTAAATCCATTCCCTGCGATTCTTTCCCCGAACACTCACTTTTTCTTGTAGCCCTCCAGCACTTCCTGCACGTGGTTGAGCTCAGCTGCCAGGCGACCACTGTCAGCCTCCACGCACTCCAGCTCCCGCCTCAGGGTCTCGATGTAGCCCTGGAACAGCGGCTCCAGATTGCTCTCGCAGCATTTCCGGCTCTGGTAGAATTGCCACTTGGTCTCCAGAAGCTTGTTCTGTTGCTCCAGGAATCGAACCTGCCATCCCAGGGAAGGGGAAAAGTCATCAGGGACATTCAGAGGGAGAGAATACCTCAGCACCCCTTGGAAAGCGTGGAAACATGGATCAAAATCATAGCAAATGTCTGCCCAGGGGCATGGACGAGATAACTTCTTGTGGGAACGCTACCACTCCTATCCCTCAGCCTTAGGATAGAGGAGGTTTGATCTGTGATTTCATTGTTACTTGGGTAAGGATCCCCCCTCCTTCATCTCTGATGCAGGTCTTTAGCATCTTCAAGCCCTAGAAAAATGTCTAGAGAGCAGAGAGAAGTGACTTGAACCCAGGTCTTCCTGGACTATCCATTATACCATGATGTCTCTTAGTATGAGAATCCTATACAGAAAAGCCCATTGTCTAAGGACAATTTGATTGGAAGAGACCTGGCAAATATTTCAAGGTGTGGGGCTGTAAGCATTTTTGAGGATAGTAGAAAGAGAACTCATCTGGAGTCTAGCTCTGGTTCTGCCATCTGTTTGTCACATGAGTCCCTTTCCCTCTCTTTCATCATTTTTAAAAATGAGGTGGCTGGACTAGAAGCTATGAGTAGAAGTTGCCGGGAGGCAATTGGGGCTGTGCAAATGTGGAAGGGTTTGCCTCAGGAGACACTGGAAGTCTTCAGGTAAAGACTGGATAAACTGCTTGTCAGGTGCTGTGGGGCAGGGGGAATTCCTGTGCAGGTCTGGGTTCAACAAGATGACCTCTAAAGTCCTCTTTCCTCTGTGATTTCCAATTTTGACACTGCAGGGTTTTGTGATTCTGTGTGAAGATAGTGTGTGTGGGGGGGGCAGCTAGGTGGTGCAGTGGATAGAGCACTGGCCCTGAAGTCAGGAAGACCTGAGTTCAAACCCAGCCTCAGACACATAACACTCACTAGCTGTGTGACCCTGGGCAAGTCACTTAACCCCAACTGCCTCACCAAAAAAAAAAAAAAAGAAAGAAGGAAAGAAAAAGAAAAAAACCAGAAAATATGGAGAGGGTAGCTTGGTTACACAGGTTGTCGTCCTCTTTCCTCACCTCTTGGAGTCCCTAGCTTCTTTCAGGGCCCAGTTTAACACCAATTCTTTTTTTTTTTTTTTTTTGGCAATTGGGGTTAAGTGACTTGCCTAGGGTCACACAGTAAGTATCAACTGTTTGGTCTAAGGCTGGATTTGAAGTCAGGTCCTCCTGACTTCAGGGCCAGTGCTCTACCCACTGCGCCACCTTGCTGCCCCTTAACACCAATTCTTAAGTGGTCTTTTCCTAGTTCCACCGCACCCCCCAAATTAGTGCTTTCCCCACATCCTCCAAAAATTACTTTGAATATATTTTCTCTTTACTTATCCGTTTATGTGTTGTTTCTTCTCAATAGAATGTAAGCTTCCTGAGGGCAGACTATTACAGTTTTGTCTTTGGATCCCCAGTGTCTTGGCATAGAGTAAGTGCTTGCTGAATTGAATTGAGATGGAGTTCATTGCCTAGGCTTCTGTACCTACTCTCCACCCCTTCTTTGGTGTGGGACTTCTGGAAGCTCCCAGATTGATGAGGGAATTATCAGAGGTCTTATTACTCAACAAAAGTAAGAGATACATTTTATCTCCACGTTCCCAAACACTCATTTCTACTCTCCAGGCAAACGAGAGGTAGATGTTCTCCCACTAAGGATAGAACTGTTATCCAAATATCTTCCTCCCCTCTATTGCCAGGAGTTCTCTCTCCTCAGAAAATAATATCATCTTGTGTTTGTACAGCCTTTACACTTTCTGAAGTCCTTTCACTTTTGTTATTTTATCTTCATGACAATTTCCATGAAGGAAGAAGTTAGGAGAGTTATTGTTGCCCTCATTTTACTGAGGGTAAAATTTTACCCAACTTAAATTAAATTTATCCAAATTAAATTAAAATTAAAAAAAATCACCCAATTAAAAAATTTAGGGTTAAGGTTATGGTTTACTGAAGCTTAGAGCAGTTAAGTTACTCCAGCTAGCACTTGTGGGAGCTGGGACTGGAACCTAGGTCTTCTGAATAGAATGTTCTTTCTTTCTGGGGATTTGCATCCTGAAATATACAATACTAACATTTGCATATTGAAACACTTTCCCACAGGATCCTGGCAAGTAGCCTTTGTCTTATCTTGCTGATCTATCCACTGCCTCCATAAAATTTCATTTGTGTTTATCAAAGACAACTAGATCTGGAAAGGACCACAGAGATCATCTAGTCCATATCTTCCATTTGGTTGATGAGGAAATTAAGGCTCAGAGTGGTTTGTTAGTACTGGGAGTAGAATCCTACACTCCTTCTCTGGAAATCTATCCATGGAGTCTCTGACGATCTCTCACAAAGACCTCTGGGAAACTAGCCTTTCTGGCCCAAGGATGTGGGGGCCCCAGAGAACAGTGGAGGGTGACTCAGGGCCAAGGGTTGGGGAATCTGTCCTAACTGGGGAGATGAGGGGAGCAGCAATGACTGAACCTGCAGACATGTGGCCCCGGGGCCAGGCCTTCGGGGTCTTTGCTAGACCGCATGGGATCAGAACATTTAAAGTCGGATTAAAGCGCCTTCAATGGGACCTAGTTCAACCCCTCATTTTATGAAAGGGGAAACAGAGGCTCATAGGGGACTTGTCTAGGTTCTTCCTGTCCTAAGGGAAATTGTCTGGCCCCGGTTCACCTTGTCGATGAAGGCGGCGAACTTGCTGTTGAGACACTTGATTTGCTCCTTCTCCTCATGCTTCACGCACTGGGCGTTGGGGTCGATCTCCAGGTTGAGGGGGGTCAGGAGGCTTCATTGACAGACACGGTGGTGATGCAGGGGGGACTGGGCCCGCACACTCCCCCAGAGCGGTAGCCGAAGCTCCGGCCGCAGGAGCCAGCCCTGTAGCCCGCACAGACGCTGCGGCTGCCAAAGCCGGTCAGTCCCCTGTAGCAGGACACTCCTCGATAGGGAGCAGCGCTGATGCAGCAGCGGTCACCCAGCCTAGGCACGAAGGCTGAGCAGGAGCTGAAGTTCCGGATTCTGCTGCTGGAGCTGGGGCGGAAAGAACGGCAGGACATGATGCTGCTGGAGAAGGCAGACGAGGTCAAGACTGGAAGCGGCACCAGGTTGTCTGTGCGAATCTGATGCCATCCCTTTTCTTATATTCCCCAGCCCAGTGGGGTTGGGCAGCATAAAAAGACCGAGGAAGCATTTATGAGCTTGAACTCCTTGTATCATACACTCCTTGTATAGTAAGTATTTGTAGTGAGCTTCTGCTGGGGACTCCCCCCAACCTCCACCCCCGGAAATGAGGAAAGATATCAAAGCTGGGTTAGCCTGTCTATCAGCCCCTATAAAATAGCATCCTTCTCCTGCCCAACTGTTTTATGGAGTAGGGGAATAGACTGAAAATTAAAAAACAATTTCTGCCCTGGTGCTCCTAATTGGGCTATGGGAAGTCAGGCCTTTCTCTCTCCGTGTGCCTTTAGGGCAAGCAGCCAGAAGATGAATGCTAGGCGAGGTTCACAGTGGATGGTGCTTCTAGGATTTCTGAGGTGATGAAATTGAATGAGGCATGAGTCATCCTGACGCCTTCTTATGCATCTCACACTTCCTTTCCTAACTCAGATCCACTCCCCTTCTCTATCCAGGAGGCTTTCTCTGATCAATCCCATCTACCCTTAAAAGATGACCCTTTAAATAAATTTCCTTTTAGCATTTTTCTGTGCTCTATTTGTAAAGGCTTTGTCTCGTTCATTTCATTCTGTATTAAGTTTAGCTCATTTTCAGTAGGGTGGAAGAGAACTATTTCTTCCTAAGGGTAAAAAAAAAAATCTTACCATTTCTTTCCTCAGAATTCAATCAAGTCATTCTTTCTTTAGCAAACCATACTAAGTGTTCACTGAGTACATTGTACTGATTTAGATGCTTTACAAATGCCTTGTCCTGGATGCCTTCCTGGTCCACTTTCCCCTTTCCCAGGCCCCACAGGACTGAAATGAGGCATTCAGTTTAGATGGTTGCTGTTTCTGTGCCTTTGGTTTGTGTCTATTTTTCCCATGAGATTGGAGGAGGGATTTTGAAGATCATCTTAACTAAATTCCAATTTTACAGGTGAGAAAACTAGATTCTGAAACTCCCAGCTCAAGGAGAAAATATTATGAGCAACAAGAAAAAAACAATTCAAATACAGTGGAGCCACAATTAGAATCACACAAGACCTAGCAATGGCTACACTAAAAGACTGCAGATCTTGGAACACAAATGCCTTGTCCTGGATGCCTTCCTGGTCTACTTTCCCCTTTCCCAGGCTCCACAGGACTGAAATGAGGCATTCAGTTTAGATGGTTGCTGTTTCTGTGCCTTTGGTTTGTGTGGGGCCGAAAGAGGAAAAGTTACTTACCTAAGGTCTTACCAATTTATTTTTAGAATTAATTTATTTTAAGCTTAAATACTAAAACTTAAATATACAATAAGAAAAGAAAAGAAACACATTATAAACTGAAATATAAAATAAGAAAAGAAAAAAAAAGCATTGCCATGTGCACAGTAGAACATAAGAGAGGATTCAAAATATACAGCAGTAAATTTCCATTTTAAGAAAGCCATTATGTTCTGAGCTGTCCCTCTTTTCTTTGCTTCTTTGTAAGTTTTCTTTTGTTTTTTGCTATGCACTTTTTATTTTGTTCTTTTTTCTCCCTTTGTCCTACACCTCCCCCCCCCCCAGGCTACAATTGAACATGGCTATATTTGTGTGTAAATATATACTCACACACATCAAACAAACGTATACATATGTTTACATGCACATACATATGCTTAGATATCTATAATCATGCTCATACATTCATATGCATGTATATAAGACTATACTATACTTGTTTGTCATCTGTTTTTCTGAGGATGGATAATGTCTTCCTTCATAGGTTCAAATCTTTCCCTATTTTTCTAAGTCCGCCAACTCATTGTTTCCTACATCACAGCAATATTCCAAACTTATACTGTCTAGTTTTGTTTTTTTTTGGCTAGGCAATAGGGTTAAGTGACTTGCCTAGGGTCACACAGCTAGTAAGTGTCAATTTCTGATGTGCAAATTCTCACACTGAATATTTAACAACCAGCTGTTAAGCCCAAATAAGCTGGTTGCAGCTTGTACAAGCTGTCCCTGCTTGTACAACTAAAACCCCTAGACCCTTTCCAGGTCTTTATCACCTACGTTGATATCACCATCTGTTTATTTCTGTTCCCTGCCAATATCTCATCTGAATCCTTTATGCTTCAGTCTCTTTCCTTTCAATGGGAAGAAGTAAAAGCAATAATAGCCCAAAGAGAAAAGCGGAGCAAAAGAAAAATACAGGAAATATCATTCACTCTTGTTAGGAATGCTCTCTGTAATGACAATGCAATGGGGAGAGAGAACAGATGAAGATCAAAGGAATTTTTTTGGAGATAGAATCTTCTTCTCTCCTACAGCAAATCTTAAAACTACCTTTGACAGGACAGAATTGAGGGAATTGCATTGATCTAAAACTAAAAGCAGTCTGGTTAGACCACAGCTGGAGAAAGGAACTGGTTCTTAGGTTAGACTTTGATAGAGTATTTCCTAGACACCTGGGATGGGAGGTTCTAGAATAAGGAACAAGAGAGACAATGGCTGGTCCTTCCCTGGAAAACCTTCTGACCAGGATAGCTCAGCGTTTGGCCATCCAATATCCATTAGGCAGGTTAGACAAGGTACCTTCTAGGAATTTATGAGTCAATTGATTTCTGCACAATGACAATGTGAAGTTAAAAGTAAAAGAAGCAAAAGAGGCCAGCTTATCTGCAATGATGCTGCCAAGTCTTCACTCAATTTTCTGTTGATTAAGCTTATCACCAACTTCCCTTCTTGTGGGTTATGAACACTACACTCTGCCAGGAAGATTCGGCTCTCATCAAACACACAGATGAAGATTTAATGTGAGGAGGCCTGTTTCCATCAACAAACACAGAGTTGAAAGAACCCATTCCTTTGTCCCCAATCAAAATGGCACCTTATTTTTAGACTAGCCATAGAGAGAGCTAGATCAAAAGTAAGAAGGCTTGTTTTTAAATTGTGACTTTTACCATTTAATATTGGTAAGAGGGAAGACGGTGGAGTGGGTCAGAAAATTCCAAGCTCTCCAGATTTCCCCCACAAACAAGACAAAACAGCACCTTAGGGCAAACATAGGTTGGTAAAAACAAACAAGAATTGGGGCACAACAGTGGTCCTCCTGGGACAACAGGAAGAAAAATCCCAGGACCAAGATTTAGTCCCTGAGAAGTGTAAACACCTTCAGGCTAGTTCTTGCTGAAACAGTGGGAGCCCTGGGGCTAGCTGAGTTGGGAGGTAACCTCCACCCCAGCCACAGGAATTTTCACCTCCTGGACAGCATGGGGAGTTGGGAGTCTGAGTAGGTAAGATTGAGGGAACCTCTCCTGATAAGGGACACCAACCCCAGCTGTGCTATGGAGATGCAGCCCTGGGCAAGAAGGAACAAACACTTGCTAGCTGAGTGCAGAAGCAATGGGGTAGGGACCCCACTGGCTATAGGCACTTACAGGAGGGCGGAGTTCTTGGTTTCAGTTCCAGGCCAGAGGGGAGAACTGAAGGAGTATCTGAAGCCAGAGACACCATCCTCCATACCCCACGACTAGGAGGGGTTTGTGGTAGTTGTTTTAGAAAATGAGCAGGTAAAAGAGAAAGAATTCAACCATAGAAAGTTAATATGAGAACAGACCAGGGTTCATCTTCAGAGGAAGGTACTGAAGCAAAAAAAGCTTTTCCTACCCCAAAGGGTAATCTCAAATGGTTACCTGCCCAAAAAGAATGCATAGAAGAACTTTAAAAACACTTTAAAAATCAGAGAGATTGAAATTTTTTTTTTTAAATGAACAATCCAAGAAAAACAAATACATTATGAAAAGAAAGTCAACCAACTAGAAAAGAAGATCCAGAATCTTAAGGAAAGAAAGTGAGAAAATTACTTTTCAATTTACACTCAAGTTTCATTTGTTCTCTCTGTGGAGGCGGATAGCATTTTTTCATCATGAAAGAAGTCCTTGGTTCATTGAATTGATCAAAGTAGCCAAGTCTTTCACAGTTGATCATCATTACAACATTGCTGTTACTGTTCACACTGATTTCTTGGTTCTTCTCACTTCATTTTGTATCAGTTCATGTAGGTCTCGTCATGTTTTTCTGAAATCACCTCCCTTGTCATTTCTTATAGCGCAATAGTACTCCATCACAATCACATACTGCAGTTTGTTTAGCCATTCCCCACTTGATGAACACACCCTCAATTTCCAATTCTTTGCCACTACAAAAAAAAGCTGACATATTTTTGTGTATGTATAAGTCCTTTTCCTTTTTCTTTACTCTTTTTGGGAAACAGACCTAGTAGAATGTTGCTGGGTCAAAGGAATAGTTTCAAATCACTCTCCACTTCACTACTCCACTAACAATTCATTAATGTTCCTGTTTTCCATCATCTCCTCCAGTATTTGTCATTTCTGATAGATGTGAGGTGGCACCTCAGAGGTGTTTTAATTTGCATTTCTTTAATCAATAGTGATTAGAGCATTTTTTCATATATAATTTTTTCACATATATATTGATTTAGAGCATATTTTCATAGATAGCTTTGATTTCTTCTGAAAACTACTATTTGTATCTTTTGACCACTTATCGATTGAGGAATGGCTCTTCCTTATATAAATTTGACTCAATTCTCTATATATTTGAGAAATGAGGCCTTTATCAGAGAAACCTGCTGATTTTTTGATATTTTTAATTTTTTGATATTACTTTATTGTCTGTGGCACCTTTTTAGCAAAATGTAGTTTATCTGATTAACCTTTTTAATTAGGTCAATTTTTGCTTTTGCTATGTCTGAGATCACAATTGCTACCCCTGCCTTTTTTTTACTTCAGTTGACTCATATTAAATTCTGCTCCAGCCCTTTATTTTAACTTTTTGTGTCTTTCTGTTTCAAGTGTGCCTCTTGTAAACAATATATTGTTGGATTCTGAATTAGAATCCATTTTGCTATCTGTTCATATTCTCAGTTATAATTACTGTTTTTCCCTCCATCCCTTTTTCTTCTGTTTCTTCTTCTCTCTCTTTTTATCCTATCCCTACTCAAGAGCCTATGTTTTGCTTCTAACTACCACCTCCCTTAATATCTACCCCTCCCTTTTATCATCCTCCTTACTTCCTCTTATCTCTTTACCTTCCGATTTCCCTATTGGGTAAGATAGATTTCTATACCTGATTGAGTGTGTGTGTGTGTGTGTGTGTGTGTGTGTGTGTGTGTGTGTGTGTATTCTTCTCTTTTTGAACTAATTCCAACAAGAATGAGGTTCAAGCATTGCCCAGCCCCACATTTCCTCTTCCATTGTAAAAGCTTTTCCTTGTGCTCATCTTTTATGTGAGGAATTTTTTTCCCATTCTACCCCTCCCTTCCCCCTTCTCCCAGTGCATCCCTCTTTCTCATCCCTTCATTATTTTGGGGAGATCATTCCAACATAACTGAGTCATACCCATGTCCTGTGTCTATATAAACTCCTTTTAACTGCCCTAATAATG